ACACTGACTCACACACACACACATACACTCACACACACACACACACACACACACACCTTTGTATTCAAGTGTATAATCTCATAAATCAGCCAAATCATGTTTATATTTCAGTCTAGTGATGCAGGTTTTTATGAGGATTGGCTTAGGGGTCAACGGTCGGTTAGGAGACAGAAACTATCATTAACCTGATAGAAAAACCATGAATGTTTCTGAGACGAGTCTAAACGTGTGTGTGTGTGTGTGTGTGTGTGTCAGGTGTTTGGTAAGGGTAACACAGCGTTCTGGATCATTTTCTCTGTCATACACATACTGGCCACACTGCTGCTGAGCACACAGCTCTACTACATTTTATTATACTGTGGTACAGTTATGGAGGCCCTTCATAATGCAGAGGTCAGCTGCCTGCTCTGACAATAGTTAGCAACAGTCCTATAGTATGCAGGGTTTAATAAACAGCTGTTTTACTCAATTCTGCTGAAGTGAAACTTAGTGCAGTCCTGTATCGTGAGTAGGGCTGGGCGATTTGGCAAAAAAATAAAATCTCGAATTTTTTTCAGAACGTTTGACCGATACTCGATTTTTTACGATTTTTAACTATTCATCTTAAAAATGTTACTACAACATGATTCCAATAACTTTTTCTTTACTAACGCTCTAGTTAAAGAAAATTCTAAGTGCAGCACACATGAAGTTATCAGCATGATGTAAATGTTAAACTAATCACTTGTTAAATATCTTTGCAGAAAAGATGCATGAACTACAACTACATCCTGTAATTCAAATTCAAAATGACTGCTTTTATACACAGAATCCGAAAATTGTACATTTCTAAACTGTGCACTTGTAAATATATCTGTACATTCATTTAAACAGTTACATTTCTGTATATTTCTACTTCTGTATATAGTGCATTATTTAATTTTCTGTTTTTCTTTTATTAGTGATATACTCCATCTCTACTGTGTAATTCCTAATTAAAAGAAGTTCACTCACATCTTCTTGCATGTTTTTTCTATTCCACTGTCTATGTTGCATCTTTGTCAACACAAAAGCGCATTCTGTGTGAACGGTGCCTCGCGAAAAGAGCGTGTCACCTGTGAGCGGTTAATCACGTGAGCGGTTAATCGTTCTTTTCTCTTTACTGTTATGATTGGCATATTGTCAAAGTGTCTAATTGTAATATTTCTATTCAAAATCGCGATTCCTCGATTTGTAAAACATTTAATTGCAGCAAAACATTAAATTTGAATTAATCGATCAAATCGCCCAGCCCTAATCGTGATATGCATCTTATAGTGGACTCTGTGTTGGGATACGTATCGTAACGTGACTTTGTTAGGGATACACAGCCCTAACACTCTTATATACACACACACACAAACGCTCACTCACACGCACTTAAACACACACACATACACACACTCTCTTTCTCTCTCTCTCTCTCTCTCTCTCTCTTACACATACACACACACACACTATATCTGACATATTCAGCAGGAGTGTGTGTGTGTGTGTTTCAGACTCGGGGATCTTGCGCAGGATGTTGAATGTGATCTACACAGACTGTATTCGGCAGTGCAGTGGACCCATGTACATCGTGAGTACACACACACACACACACACACACGTGTGCAGCTGTCGCAGTGAATCTCTCTGATGTGTATGTGTGTGTGTGTGTGTGTGTGTGTGTGTAGGATCGGATGGTTCTGCTGGTGATGGGAAACATTGTGAACTGTTGCGCTGCTTTTCCATTGTTTTTTCTATGTAAACATGGACGCGTTTGACTGTTGCACTAGCATCTCTTGCAGCATCTCACGCATGAAATGGCATTATAAAAACGCAGCGCTCAAATTAAAAGAAGTTCACTCACATCTTCTTGCATGTTTTTTCTATTCCACTGTCTATGTTGCATCTTTGTCAACACAAAAGTGCATTCTGTGTGAACGGTGCCTCGCGAAAAGAGCGTGTCACCTGTGAGCGGTTAATCACGTGAGCGGTTAATCGTTCTTTTCTCTTTACTGTTATGATTGGCATATTGTCAAAGTGTCTAATTGTAATATTTCTATTCAAAATCGCGATTCCTCGATTTGTAAAACATTTAATTGCAGCAAAACATTAAATTTGAATTAATCGATCAAATCGCCCAGCCCTAATCGTGATATGCATCTTATAGTGGACTCTGTGTTGGGATACGTATCGTAACGTGACTTTGTTAGGGATACACAGCCCTAACACTCTTATATACACACACACACAAACGCTCACTCACACGCACTCTATCTCCCCCTCTCTCTCTCTCTCTCTCTCTCTCTGAGGTGAAAATAATGAAAAGTAGATCTGTCAATCTGGCCTCATCAGCCTCACGACATCCTTTAGCTGTAGCAGTGTTTCTACTTGGGGGGTGACCCCTGTGTGTGTGTGTGTGTGTTCAGGGCGGCGTATGGCCTCATCAAACGACCCAATGACTTCGCTTCGTACCTGCTGGCCATTGCTATCTGTAACCTGCTGCTCTACTTCGCCTTTTACATCATAATGAAGGTGCCGCTCTCATTATGACATCATCATCTACTTCCTGTGGTCCTGATGCCTCACCGCAGGGTTCTTCAGATCCGGCCCTGACCGACGGTGGCCCTCGAGGGCCGGATCTGAAGAACAGCCCTGTGGTTTCTGTGAGAGGAGCTTGTGCTCCGGTGTTTGAACTCATTCAGCTGAATTTGAGTTTTAGTCTCGTTCAGATGTTTATTTGTGATTGAACTGTCTTTACCTATTTTTGACCCTGAATTTTATTTGTTATATGTATACTACCATTCAAAAAGTTTAGGGTCAGTAAGTTTCAAATAAATTAATATTTTTATTCATCAAGGATGCGTTAAATTGATCAAAAGCGTCAGAAAAGACATTTAAAATGTGACAAAAGATTTTTATTTCAAATAAATGCTGTTTTTTTTACTTTCTATTTGGGCTGCCCTCGACTAAAGATTTTTCTGGTTGACTAGTGGTGATTATGAACGTGTCAGGAAAAACAGTGGAGGCTGCATTAACATTTTAATAATTTATTGCTAAACTAGTGCTTTCTTTGTTCCCGGTTTAAGAGATGAAGTCAAGACTCGTCATCTCCGCAGTAGTGATGCACCTGTATTCATGTTTCATACGGATTACATAATCTGAGAATATTTGTTTTCCATTTGAATTTGGATATTTCCATTTCAAAATACTCTGTCATTTTTGGTCATACAGATAAAAGTGATACATCTTTCGAATCTGTAAAGACTCTACGTTTATTTGCGTGCACTCACAATAACAACAAAATGTTGCACTTCTGTAAAATAATTAACGCGAACAGGATGCGCTTTCTGCCGTCTCGGTCTCCGTGAACTTGAGCGCGAAACTCCGAAACTCTGTGTATGAAAAATATATCTATAGAGAGTGAAATGTCTACTTTCAAATGAACCAATTCAAATAGAAAACGTGTGTGTGTTTGCATGGATGATTTACATGAAATTTAATGTGTGTGCAATGCACACTGTGCATTGTTTCAGCTGGCTTTCAGTTCAATAAAATAACAAAAAACTACATTTTGGATTTTTATTCAACTGAAGTGGGCATGCTGTGATCTGTACTGTATTTTTACTGTAACTGACAGATTCCGGCCAAAAAAACACAACACGGGAGTGGGAGGGAATGAGTCATTCTTCTGGGATTGGGACGGGATTTTTTTTTTGTGGGAGTGGGACGGAGAGGTTTGAAAATCCACTCCCGTGTCACCCTCTAACAGACACTTGAATAGCACACATTTCTCTAGGTTAACATTAGATTGAGCAGCCATGTAAAGTTGCTGCTACTAACATATTTCAGATGATAAGCCATATTTGAGGCCGATGAATGATAGGAGAGCGTTTGGATGTCCTGCTCGATGTACTGTATTACCACATAGACCAGCCGCTAACGATCTGTCCGCATCACGGACTGTGTGACTTCGTCTGTGGATTTTGTTTTTCCTGCGGTGGTGTTATAGGGAATATAGTCACTGCGCTGAGTGTTGTGATCTTTAAGTCGTCACTGTATTCACAAGCTCAGGTTCCACTGGTCTTAAAGTGACAGCAGTCTAATATTCCTGCTGCGACGGTGCTTAATATTAATCAAACAACAAAAACAAAATCACTCACTGCTCTTGATTGAACTACTTTTGTAGCTTTAATAAGTAACAAATGAAGGTTAATCCTTACAGTGAAGTCTATGCAGTTTTATTTTACATTACACTATTCATATATATCGCTATCTTTAAATAAATCATTCAAATAAAGTTTTGGTCATATGGCCCACTCATAATCGTGCTTATGATTTTTGTCGTAATCGAGCAACCCTAGTGTTACCTGTGTGCAGTGATGTTGATCGATCTGTGTGTCTCCAGAAAACTCCAGCGGAGTCTCGCGAGCACAACCGTGAGTGTATCCTGCTCTCCTTCTTTGACGATCACGACATCTGGCACTTCCTGTCCTCCATCGCCATGTTCGGTTCCTTCCTGGTGAGTCCAGAACATCAGTCAGACTCAAAGACAACTGAAAATCATCATGTCAGCTAAACACCGGTCTGTCTGTGGTCTCAGGTTCTGCTCACGATGGACGACGACCTCGACACGGTTCAACGAGACAAAATCTACGTCTTCTGATGGACCGATACTAGCCAATCACAGAGCAGCACCGGGGGTGTCGGCCAATGAGAGGCCTCGCTACCTGAATATGTTTACCTGCCAGTCAGAGACGGTGTGGGAGGAGCCTCGTATGAGAGCTAATGCTGATAGGACAGTGAATGTGCCAGTCAAACTGCCAGAGCTCCTCCCCTCATCATGTTAATCGCTTCAGACCTGACCTGCAGATCTCAATGCATTTTTGTACCGGTGGAGTTTCTCTTGTTCTCTGCGTTTGTGTCCGTCTGTGGCCTTCTGTGTCTGTGGTTTTGGACCGTGTGGTTCTGACTGTAATCCGAGCCGAGCTGCTTCACTCATCTAAAGATGATTCTGATCTGAGAAAATCAACTTTGCACTGTCTTAAAATTACAGATTGTGTTTTTACAAATGGAATGATTACTGAATAAAGACTTTTTACGGTTGTTTTCAGGCATGTCAATCTGTTTTGCTTGCTAATGATTCACATTACTGGATATTAATGGAGAGTTTCACTAGTTAGCAGTAAACCAGTTACCTCACTGAATATGTTCCTAGATTTGTGTTGGATGTTATCTTTGGAATGGAAATATGGATATTTTATTTGTAAACATAATACCTTTTTCGCTTATTTCAGTTAATGTCATAAAACTAGCGAGCTGAGCCAGTAGTAGTGCTGAGAGTGTCGTGTAAACACGACTGAAGACGAGAAAAGCCGAGGAACAGACATTTAGGTGGAACTGCTCTGACTAATTAAAACTCGATCATTAAGATCAAGCGATTCAGAAGCGAAAACAGTTCAGAATAGCCATTCATTTGTAATTCATTTATTTGCTTGTAATGATTTTAAAAAGTATAAAGTAGTGATGGGTGAAACGTAGCTTTTGCATCGCAAAATAATTCAGTTTCAAAGACTACAGATGCAACGCTCAATATGGCCGCTCTATCGAACAAAGCCCCGCCTTCTGAGCAAAAGAGCCAATCGCTAATCGGTAAAGTCAGCGCGTCACTGCAGCTGCCGTTAGAAGTCCCGGTTGCTATAGAAACAGTGAGCGTTGAGACGTGCGCCTAGGACTGCGCATAAGCCTGAGAAATAAGCTTTTTATAACGCTATTTGAGCGAAATAAACAACATTTATGATACAGTTGTTGTCAGATTTCATTGGTGATTTCAAATATGAAATTTAATCGTAAGCTTGGCGACCAGTTTTGGAGAATTTGATGTTCCCCC